TTTGCTCTATAATCATTTGCTCTATACGTCAATTGATCTATGACATAACACGTCATTTGCTCTATAAACATTTTTATGGTTGTGATGGTTTAATTGCTCTACTCAACATTTGCTCTATGAGTAAACACGTCATTTTCTCTATAAAAATATTTACAAATATCTAATCATTTTAAAACATTTTTACACTTTTACATTTTACAATTCTTGCTACAGTTTCATTATTCCGCCAACTTCCAGGAGATAGTTTTATGAAAGTTTTAGCCACGGTAGAACAATTCTGCCTTCTATATTCAAGACATCTCCAGTACTGATAGACACCCTATTTATTTAGAGTAGAATAAATATAGTTTTCACCACACATTAGGTTTTTTTTACCCCTCTTATTATTGAGCAGTCTCGCTGTCATGATGAACTTTGAAGAACTGATTAAAACTGCAATTTGCAAATTTTCCAAAAAAAATTCCCGCATTTCATAGTCAAGTTACGCTTAGGAATTCCAATAAAAGCTATTTTATAGTGTATTTTTAGGTTATAGAGCAAATGACGTGTTTAGTCAAAGAGCAAATGAGGTATAGAGCAGATTGAATATAGAGCAAATGATGTATAGAGCAAATGACTTGATAGATCAAATGTTTCAATATGTACGCAGAGTATACGCGACTGCAATTAACTTTCCTTGCATTACATTCTTGGTTTGTAGGAGCACTCAGTTTGCGTACATTTCACATTTCTCCCACCGAGTACATTTGAGTTAGAGGTTTCCAGTGTACCTTGATCATGATCGTTAAAATGAAAAATTATAAAACTCCATAATATTCTATTTAATTCAGTAGTAATTTTTATATTGCATGGATACGGTTTAAACTGTGGCCAGAGGTCTGATATGAGAAATAAAATCATAAGGTTTTATTTGTGTTGAATGCCTAATACTACACAAAACCAAGTCGTGGAATGCCATATTCACTAAACTTACCGAATCTTGTTCTAAATGTTCCACAATTTCTCTTCTTCTGTCATAATCCAAAAACTCATCCTTGTCCACTGTGCATCATGTATCATGTATCGCCAAAGTAGTTAATTTTGTAGAAAAACTCTCGTGAAAATACGAAACTGCGTTGTTACGTATTTCAAAATTTCAAAATTTTAAATTCCAAAAGACAAGATTAACAAGAAATGTTTCTAAATAAAATGTAAAAATTCAAGTTCCTTTTACCTGAGAAATATTATTCTTATCCTGACTACCTCGGTGGGAGTTCAAAAATAATTTATAGATACACATCATTACGACTGCAGCCTTTTTGATTAAAAAAAATGTCACTCGTAAATTTTTTTTTCATTTTCCTAACAAGAGCTAAATTAAGCTTAAAATGACATTCCTGAAGTTAGCACAACAGAAAGAACAACGATGATAGCCACTGCAATACAAACCATTCCCATTACTAACTGAAAATAAAGATTATATTCTTTAGATATTCGTGTTGAGCCTGATTAGACATAAGAATTAAATAAACTTTCTAAAAAATTGGATTTAGTTAAATCTGCATAAACGTAACTGATGTAACAGAGTTATAGGTTATTACCATTTTCTTTCCCTAATTCTAAAGTTTAGGATCTAAAAGTAGGAGAAAAGTCCAAGAAAGATAACATTCTTTCTGGGACGAAATTTAATGAATACATGTCGTTGAACTACATACTGCCGTTTCAAATTTAAAGATTTGAGAAGGATTTGAATCTGTGATTCAAAAAACCGGTGATTCAAATTTGAACTGGCCGTAGGACTGCAGTTCAAATTCATTAAATTCGGTCCCTGGTAAAGTGAACGTTGAAAATCCATGATTATGGAAGCATTTTTTTTGGCGTCAAACCTTATAGAAATCCAACGTATAGAAACCGCTACGTATAGCAACATGGCGTATTTTCCGGAAGACCATTTTTTATATTTTTGAGAAATTAAATAATCAGTGTAAAGTAGATAAAATTTTCATAAAATACTTTTTATTTAAATGGTAAAACGGAATTCTATGAAATAATTTTCGCATTACTGGAGAACTTTTTTATACTTTTGAGAAATTTTTTTTCTAAAAATAAATCTGTAGATAGCATTTTTATAAAATATTTTTTTAAATAGTAACATCCAAATCTATGCATAACCATATAATCATTAATTTGTGTTGCCAGTACATAATGAAATCTGGGGGACCTTAAACACAATAGAAAGCAGTACAAATGTACATATTAAAATATTTTGCTCCTTTAATGTGTGGGGTATGTTAAGAAAATAGAAATTATGATAATGATAATGATAAGCTACAATGTTTTACAAAAACGTTTAATTCTCAAAAATATAAAAAATGGTCTCCCGGAAAATACGCCTTGTTGCTATACGTAGCTGTTTCTATACGTTGGATTTCTATAAGGTTTGACTTTTTTTTTTATTAAATCATTATTACCCAAAGCCTTCCATTGCAAAATTTGGTCGGCTCATCTGTTTCCATTGATTCAGATATATCACAGGCAACGTAAGAGTCCTTTGCAGTAACCATATTGCATTATTTACGTGTATCAGGCTCTCA